TTTGATTATTATTATCATAATTTTTATTATTATTATCTGTTTTTCCAAGGTCGTCCAAAACACCTTTATGCACGACAGAAGGGTGGACAAACAAAACCCTCCCCTATGTGGGACTCGTTAAAACCATACCCGTTAAACTGACAAGACCTATCTCCTGGGACATCCAACTTGGAATCTACTCTTGCATTTGAACTTCAAACCAGGGTCACGGAGGTTTAGTTCCTGGTACTGGCTTTCTCCAAACCGATACCACCGCGTTTTGTAACTTTTTGCGTCGACTGGGGTATTTTCTAGTTCCCGTCAGACATCTCAGCAGCTTTTCTTTGTTTAGTTAGAGAGAAGGAGCAAGATAATGAGCAGACGTCCCCTAACACGAGCCAAGACAAGCCACCCCCGACAAAGGCGCATGGAGTGCACCCACTGCAGAGCTCGCAGGGCAAAAACTAAGACCACCAAGGCACAGCTTCTCATCGGCAGAAAGGTGATATAGCAAAGCGGTCCGCACGAGGCTGCTTCCATTTCAATACCCTGCAAGCACGTATTCTGAACAACAACTACCCCGCACCCACACCGCGGATGCTCAGACCTGAAAAAAAAAAGAAAAAAAAATAAAGAAAAGAAAGTGGCACAGCAGAAGTGAAGCACCCGAGAGCATAAGCCACTGAGCCGTAGCCGCTTATCCATAGGAAACTGATAGAGCGAAGCAGTTTGAGAAAGTCCGCATGCGCTTAATTACCCATGCAGGCCTCCATCCTGCACACTAACCACCCTGTGGCCACGCCCCAGTGGCCTCACCCCCAAAGCCCCACTACCACCCTATCAAACACCACGAATATCGCAGTAAAAACACGACCTTCCGCCCCCACGATGGCACCGGATCCACGCGTGCACCACAGAGCATCCCCCACTTCCACTCAGTTGTCCAGAAAACCATCGTCCTTTTTGGCCCGAAGAACTTCATGTATGTATCGGGCTACTGCAGTCCATCTTTCTTCGTTGAGTAGCGTTTTGTCTATTGCGTTGTCGGGATTTAAAGTTGCAATCCTTTCTTTGTAACACATTTTGTTTGGCTTGCAACTTGGTGCAGTTAAAGAACAAGTAATCTGCCTTATCTTTATTGCAGCCGTAGTACGTACACGCAGCTGTCTATGTTTTCTGCATCTTGTTGAGGTACGAGGGGAAATACCCGTAATTTAAGAGAAATTCAGTGAAATAGTAACGTACCTCCTCGTGTTCTTGCTCAGTCCATTTCTTGACATCTTTTATCAGGCGTGCTGTCCATCTATCTCTAGTTTCCTCTTGCCATCTATGTTGCCAGCATTTCCACGTTTTTTTGGGGCACTTTTTTGGCCTTCATTCTTCCTAACTCCTGCTTCGTGAAGTGCTTTAATCATTGTTCCCTCGCAAGGAGGTCGATGGAAACTACGCCTGCTATTACCATTATCTCAGACTCCGAGACTATGTGATAGGCGCAGGCTATCCTTAGGGCTCCTATTATTTGAACTAAAGTGATTTTAACTCTTTTCTTTTCGACTTTAATTTTATTACCCCATGTCTTAGCCCCACATAAAATAATAGATTGGACTGTGAATATGAGGAGCCTGCGCTTTGCAGGTTTTAGACCTCTAACATTCAGCATGGTTCGGTTTAATGCCACTACTCTTGCTACCGCTTTGTCTGCTGCTTGCCTATGGTGACTCCAAAACGTAAGCTTTCTATCGAGCGTCGACCCTAGGTATTAAACGGCATTCTTTATCATTACTTCTTCTTCTTATACCATGAGGGGAATTATAATATTCATCTCTTTTCTTGACAATAATACCATCTCCGTCTTCCTTGTTGCAACTTCGAGCTCGTGATTCTCCATCCATGGAACTACTTACCGCATAACCTGGTTAAGTCATATCTGGACAAGTTCCATCGTGTGTTCAACGATCACTACAGAAGCATCGTCCACGTATCCTACCAATAACGTCCTTTTTGGCATTTTCTGGCAGAGCAGTCCGTCGTATGACATGTTCCAGAGATCGGATCCATGTATGGATCTCTGGAATGCCTCTGCAGTTATTTTCTCCTTTGTTTCACCTTTTGTTGTCGTATTTTTCAAGAAGCGGTCCATAAGATAATCTCTCAATACTCTCAAGAGATAGTCTGGGGTTCTAAATGTGTGTTTTAGAGCGTGAAGTATGTCCTTTCATCTTGCTGAGTTGAAAGCGTTCTTTACATCCAAGGTCACCAGAAGAACGAGAGGTTTTGCTCCATGGCATATGTCTCTGGTGCTGTGAACTGCTTTTACTACTTTTTTTACTGCTCCTATGGTAGACCTTTCTTTCCTGAATTCATGCTGCCTGTTGTATAAGTCTCCCGCGTTTTGTATGGCCTGTAGAAGACGGGCCTTAAGCAGCTTTTCGCATAACTCTCCAGATGTGTACAGCATGCATAACGGCCTGAGTGATGACGGGAGTTAGGCTAACCCTTGGCTTTATCGATCAGTACCAGCCAGGCGTTTTTTCAGGGAATTGGAAATAATTTTTTCATTAAACATGCATTGTATAGGTTCAAGAGCAGTTGTGAAAATTTTGCCACAATTGTCTTGATAACTTCTGCTGGTATGACATCTGGTATGACATGGTATGGTCTAGGTACTTTTTCATTTCTAAGCAATTTGACTGCTAGCTTTAGTTCCTTCTGGGTAAATAAAGATAAATCTTCTATGAGCTTCAAGTGTGCTCAATCTTCGAGTTCTGGATAAATTAGGAATAGCGTATCTATGATATGCCTCATGGTATTCACGTCTTTGATTGCAGTTGGTGCCAGTCATCCCAGTTTTCTTATAACTATGTGGTATACTCTGTCCCAAGGATCGTTATTTACTTCCTGGCACAGAGTCTGCCAGCACTGCTTTTTGCTGTTCTTGATAGTAGTTTGTATTATTTTTTTTATCGTTATTATTACTTCTATTGTTATTATTGTTTTTTTAATTATTATTATTGCTCTCAGAATTATTGTTTTTAATATTATTTTATTACTATTAACGTGTTTATCATTATTTTTATTACTATCTTTATTATCACCACAACTTTTGACATATTGTCATTACTAGGAGTATTATTATTATCGTTATCATTATTATTTCCTTCATTTTGATTATCAGCATTATTGTAGTCATTATTATTTTTATTATCTACATCTTCAACTTCACCGTTATCATCATGATTTTCTTTTTAAATATTATTTCTACTGTTTTTAATATTATTATATCTATTTTTATTATGATCTCATTTATTGTTAGTATAATAACTATATTAATTATGAAAATTTTATTACATTATCATCGTTGTCATTTTNAAATATACGGATACCTCTATTAAATACCTCCAATAATCCAAATCTAAAAATACTAAAGTATATATAAATTTGGATCCAGGTGAAAAAGGATACATTTCATGGATGGTGTTTAATTACACAAAAACTAGTATAGATTTTCAATCACTGCAAGTAACAAATCTAAATACCAATGATAAAAGGCTTAAGAACTAAAAACAAACCAACAGATTAAAAACTAATAAGAGTATGCTTCACTAACACAGCTTCACAATTCTCATTCAAATCAAAAATGATATTGTGTTTTATGTTATAAAGCTAGAAACAAGTACAAACTTTTTAAGTTTTGGTCTTATGATTTGATCACATGATTCTTACCTAATAAATATATGTTGAGTAGTTCTTGTATATTATTACTTATCCAAATTCTAAGTTTTTAAAAAGTATATTTTGTATTATTTTTTTGAAGTTTTAAAATGAAGATCGAGTTCATTATACATATTCACAGCAACAATTTTACAGTATTTTAGTTTTAACGTCTTAGTTATTTTACGTAATGTAATTTTGTATATTGTCTTTTATTAAATTCTATAAACACGATTCATTTATTATTTCTATTATTAGCATCACGATTTGTTTATTATTAGTGTTATCATTATTATCATAAATATAAATATTTTTCTCATCATTGTTTTAATTCTTACTGTCACATTTTCTGTCATTATTTATGAAATAATTGTTACTATTTTCAATATTGTGAGTCATTTGAGTATTTTTATTATTATTAACATTAGCATTACATGGTTCAGATTAAAAAAGTAAACGTTTGTATTAATTATCGTTATTTTTGAAACGATAGTCAGGCTCCTAAAGTTTAAAATATTTTTGAATATTTTTGCTTTAAGTTTTCTTTAATTTGTGTCGTGAAACTGTCAGTATTTTATTTTTTAAGCTTCTTGGCAGGAGTCGATTTCAGCCAAAGTCATCATTTAGACGTTGCTGTACACACACAGGTTAACCAGTTTTTTACACTTGATGCTTAACTATTTGCAGGACTTTGTTTCTCTACTTATTTTGGCTTGTTATCAGCGATCTTAAAAATGAGCATTGTGATGGTGGCCTTAGGTAGAAATTTATTGTTTATTTTAGCTCAATGTATACGAATCATCTAAGCCCTTTTGAATGATAGTATTGTTGCATGATATATCAGACCACGATTGCAATAATTTTGTGTATTTTGTGAGTAGAAAAACAATCTTTAGAGAAATGGTTCTTTTATATCTCTTTATTCATAGTTCATTTTAAAAAACACTAAACTGTACAATTATTATAAAAATTTAGTAAGTTTTGTACTTACCTATTCGTAAGATTATAATGGAAAAATTTTGTTTATAAAACTTCATGTATGAAATATTGAACAAGTGTTTTGTTAAAAAAAATACTTTTTATTGGTACTTGTCTTTTTCGTTGTCAGTTATTATGTGAATTATTAAAAACGAAGAATATAGAAAACAATACGTACATTTTAAGTAAGTTTTAATGCTTTGTGCTATAGTAATTGTCCTATTGCTGGATGTAAAAGACACATATGCTCAGCACCGCGGATTGGTATTTGATTTATACTAAAATGGTGCACAATTTCTGGTACACTTCGGAATGTATCACTGTACTGCCCAAATATGTACGCATTTAATGTATTATTTTTTCGTATACGTATGTGCATGAATCCTTTAGCACTTCTGAAAAACATTTATCGTATAGTATATTATTATTTAGTAATTATATCTCTTAAAATAGTTACATAATCTATTCTTATAATTGTATAAGCGTAACAGTTAGATTTTGTTGTTTGTATAAGTTCATATTAAATACATATTTTTTTTGTTTTTACTAAGTATTACAATATTCATATAGAAGTATTTTTTGTGTTTGTATTTGTGTTTTTTTTCATTCAGGATTTGTGGCTATGTTATATCTGGCCCTTAAACAATTATTCATTTATTAAACACGAATATAGATCATAAAAAAAAAAAAATAAAAAATCTAGTAAATTCTAGAATATAAGAACTCAATGAAATCAGATGTATCACAAGTAAGGAATCGGAAAAAATAGAAAGTATTCAAATTTGAAAAATAATCATTGATCAAAGTTAAGTACACTGCTTAAAATTAACATTAGTAACAATGAGACATTAAGTATAGTAGAAAATAAACTGATAAATAGAAAAGTCATAATCTAGAAGGTATAAGTAGTATCAGTATTTTTCTAACTTAATATTTTATTCACCTCAGAAAATGCCAAGTACATAAGAAGAGTGTTGCAGAAATATAAAACAGTTTAATTCTCTAAAAATTTGATAATATTAGATGTTTAGAACTCAGGGCAAATTTATTTGCAGAATCGTAAACTTACAGTTGCATTCTCAACGACAAATTTATCTATGTATTTATAAGTGGATTCAGCAACAACAGTTTGAAGAGGAGCAACTAAGTTGAACGATATCAGAATAACACTGTTCAAGTGTAAGAGTAATAAGTGCTTTTTTTCTTTTAAATAATGAAAATCAGAATTTCTAAATATATTTGATATTGTATCCATTAAATTTTAGGTGTTAGTACGGTTAGGCTGTTAAAATAGAATGTAATGCAAGATCGTAAGGGCTTAGAAAATTTTTTTTAAAGTAATATAAGATAATAAGCTGCTATGAGCAAAGTGTATCCACAGCCCTCTCGTAACTTAGGAGCAGGCTGTTGCTAAGACGTGATGGCTTTGAGCTGGGCTTGAGATGAGATCGATAATTAAATTCGACTAACTTTTTTTTAGGCACACAGGGGCGTAAAGAGTTGACAAGGGTCAATAAATTAGAGCAAACCGCTAAGCAGAATAATGTACTAGTTGTTTTAGACTTAAAGCCCTTCACTACAACAGGTATATTTGTAATTAAGAAACCAGCTGTTTATATTAGAGCGGACTTAGCTGTCAAAAATTAGATCTTATTCTGCTGTTGCTATACAGCTTTGTAGATCTTAACCACATAGGCTTTAAGCTCCTCCTCAAGGTTTTATATCAAGTTGAGAATGCCAGCTTGTGAAGATTGATTAACATTTACGATTTCACAAAGACTACGTACGGTATTAGGAGAAAAATAATTTTGTATATGTGAGAAGAGTTTTGTTGCTCAGTAGAATTTTCAACTATGAAGAGATTTGTAAAAATGTAGTTAATAGAACATTAACAAACTTCCTTTGAACACATTTGAGGTAGTAGGGCTTCAAACAGGCAAGACAGTGCTCTTTGGAATAAATGTACGTGCCCTGTGTAAAAAATGAAAGTGCTTATAAATCCAGCAAGATTTACGCACAATACGGTTAAGTAACTAATTTTAAATAATGAGAAAATATTATTATTCAAAAAAGCTTAAACATATTTATACCAAGGACAAAAAATACAATTTAAATTAATTTAAGTTGTCAACACTCTAAAAGTAAGTTCTGTGATGTATTTATATAATGTTAAATTAAATAATGGGTCAATAACAGCCTGCGTCATATTTAATGTTGTATTAAAAAAGAATGAGCACGTTGAGCAGTTTTGTAAAAAAAATAAATATTACGATTATTAATATGTTGTAAGGTAATATTTATGGACACAGTTAGATACCGGAGAAGTCAAAGGTTAGTAACACTAGTAGAGGTAAATCTTTTCTCTAGAAAACGTAATAGTGCTGCTGTAAAGCAAGGTAAATATAAAAATAAAAATATACGGATACCTCTATTAAATACCTCCAATAATCCAAATCTAAAAATACTAAAGTATATATAAATTTGGATCCAGGTGAAAAAGGATACATTTCATGGATGGTGTTTAATTACACAAAAACTAGTATAGATTTTCAATCACTGCAAGTAACAAATCTAAATACCAATGATAAAAGGCTTAAGAACTAAAAACAAACCAACAGATTAAAAACTAATAAGAGTATGCTTCACTAACACAGCTTCACAATTCTCATTCAAATCAAAAATGATATTGTGTTTTATGTTATAAAGCTAGAAACAAGTACAAACTTTTTAAGTTTTGGTCTTATGATTTGATCACATGATTCTTACCTAATAAATATATGTTGAGTAGTTCTTGTATATTATTACTTATCCAAATTCTAAGTTTTTAAAAAGTATATTTTGTATTATTTTTTTGAAGTTTTAAAATGAAGATCGAGTTCATTATACATATTCACAGCAACAATTTTACAGTATTTTAGTTTTAACGTCTTAGTTATTTTACGTAATGTAATTTTGTATATTGTCTTTTATTAAATTCTATAAACTTATTAAGAGGCTTAATTTTTCTGTATAATCGTTTCTTGCAAGAAGCATTTTTTTACGTATAATGGCAATGAAATAGTTGTATTTTTTTTGTGTATGATTCTAAGTTATCAACTTTATATTTTTTGTATACTCCTACATATTCCACTATATATAGCTTCTAAGCAGACGTTTATTTTTGCTTAAGCCATCTTCTACTATGTATCTATACACTTTGAAATTATATCATCAGCACAGATAACTATAGTGTCATTCAGTCATCCATTTCGTAAATCATCCATGTAGACCATTAATAGAAGAAGTCCAAGTATTGTACCTTGCGAAACACATGTATTCAATAAATTTATAAAATCACTATGTAAGCCACTAATTTTTATTGTTTATGACCTATCTGACGAATAACTCTTTAATAACTCTTTAACCTCTAATGTCTTCTATTACTGTACCTTTTAAGCTTTCTGAAAGTTCTTTTAACTTTTTCTCCAGCTTTTTTTTCATAGTATTTGTCTGTGTAAACAATTATTGTTTTTGATTTTTTCGATGTTTTTAGATAAGTTCTGTATTCAATTTCTAGAGAGAAAAAATTCAGTTTGTAGTTTATTTATTTCTTTTTTAATAAAATATGCAATCTTAACTTTCACTGTGCTAAATTTTGTTACTGCTATCACTTGCACGTTTGAGACTTTAGGATTGATTTTTTTTTCCTCGTCAGTTTTTGTTGTATCAGATGTTTTTAGTTTTTTTAAAGTTATTATTATGGCCTGGTTTGTGTTTAAATTTTCTATGTGCCCTACAATTCAGTGGAACTTTTTATTACTTGTGTATATATTCTACTATTTTTTATTACTTCTACATGGTCTTCTAGTATTTTATTTTTATTTCTGTGCTTAACTGCTCCAGTTACTGCTTCATTTCCTCTCCCAATTCGTACTGTTATTGTTCTCTAGAGATATGTAATCCCGGCATTATCGTATGCTTTTTCGTAAAATTCGTTTTTATCTCATTCTTACACATTTTCATATCTTTACTCATCATGAAGTTTATGGATTTTTTAAAAATACAATTGTCTTTTTGATTGAGTCTAGATACCATGTGTTTCATTTTAAGACTATATACACATTACACTGGCATACTACAAATGTATTACTAAGTCCCTTAAAGCTTCTTCTTCCTGCACAGTTGATATAGAAAAGCGATTCACATAGAATACAAAGACAAACTCTATCTTCTAGTTTATCCTGACAACATTCTAAACTACTGGGTGTTAAGATTTTTGTATCATCTACATATTACGCGATTTTCACTGATTGTACGAATTGTAGCGAGGTATTCTTTAACGTATCAAAAATAAGAAATCATCCTTGTAAACCAATTTTTTTTTTTTTTATGTAACCAATAAAAATCATTTGAAGTTTGTGCAAATGCAAAAATCGTTGCTATTAATAACTCGCGGAAAGCAAGATAATCTATGTGCAATGATTATCAGAAAATATGTACAATGGATATTGCGTAGACAAACAGTGCACATTACGGTGCAAAACTATATGGGAGTCAGCTGAAAAAGGAACTGACCAGCAAGGAAACATATCCTTCCTGAGATGCAGACTGTCACTGCTAACCTTCACCTGGAATGTTATTTTGAAACAGCATAAGGAATACCTAAAAAAATTGCAACTTGTTTAACTATACCTTTAGTTGTATTAACTTTAAAAAGTCTCAATGTAACATGTAACATCATCAAAAAAATTACATTAAATTGCATTTGTATGATCTGTAGAAATCTTCGAATTTCTTGTATAAAAAATTACTTTTCGATGAACCTGTTCAAACTTTTTAATAGAACAAGTTGTTCCTTTTAGTAAAACAAAAAATAGAGTTGCGTCTCGATGAAAGTGCGTATGTCAGTACATATCTAAATAAGAAAAATAATCACCAGTGTTGCTGCATATTTGCTCTCATCATAACCCTCTTAAAATCACCTTATTAAAAAATAAAACAACAGTTAAAGCATAAAATACAGTTAAAATTAACAAGTATATTTATAGAACCTTGTATAAATAAACCATCAATAAAAAAAAAAAATAAAAAATATAAACCTTCTTGAAAAATTTTGAAAACCTTAAGAAAACAAAAAACTTTGTATGAACAATTGTTTAATAATTTATTGTACGATTAACAAATAAATATCACAGGCACATAAAACAAAAGTTATCTAAGTTTGACATAATACCCCTACACTTATAGGTTTTTGGGTGCACTGAATCTAAATCCGAGGTCAGATTTAGTTAATTACCTTCAGGTTTTCCCCTAGTAAGGGTTAAACCCTAGATAATTGGGTAATCCACATTTAATCTCATGATCTTGGAGCACCAGGTACTCAGACGTTGTCTAACTCAAGGGCTTACACTGAGTT